TCTCGGTGAGGTTAGAATCCCCAGCAGCAAGGGAAGGCTTATGTACAGTCGACACTCTAGCCGAGTGAGCCTTTGAGGCCCCAGTGGGTGGTGTTATTGAGTTGCCCTTTGGCAGTCGTGACTATTTAGACGCGCACGGAGGAGGAGTCTGTTAATGGCATTCAGGTCAGCGAGTCAACTTCAGCGCTCCCTATGCAGCTGCGTGACCCCGAGGCAGCGTGCATTGAACAGCACTGTTGACTGCCCTCCACAAACCCATGGTGCCCGATGGGAGGCTGGTGGCTGATTTGGCTATAGCGTTCATTGTACTTGAACCTTTCCCTTGCTGGCCTGAGCTCGAAAACCAGCGAGGTCGGCGACGTTCTCTCAATTGGTTTCTTAAAAATTTGAAACTGAAGCTGAAACAGAACATTTTTCTTTTTGTAATGTTCTTCATATTAACGATTTATTATGGGCTAAATAATTGGTATTCATTAAACTTCATCTTATGGTTATCAGGATATAGCTTTCGGTGGATTTTAAATGTAATTTTAAATTGTAATCCTAGTAAACGTTGCTATTAGAGGACCTTTTTGTAACAAAGGGCATATGTTGGCCTTTTTGGCAATGAGCGCAGTGCACTGAAATACAACAGTGAATAGCGAGAGAGAGAGATGTGTTTATAAAGCTACTCGTTGGTCGCAAGCTCTCAGTCTGATTCACATGAAATTGATGCATTTTCCACCCGCTGAGAGTGCAAAACGTCAGGTCAGTAAAGCGCTTGTTTCGGCAATCGTGCCTCCTTCCTCAAGACTACTTCTTGCCACCCGCCTCTTCGCGTCTGTCTGTAAGAACAAGCAGTCTGAAATTGTCATGTCACGTGTACTTATATCTAGTAAATTTGTGTTGCACTGAAATGCCATCTTGACCAGCGCGCATTGCTTGCTAATAGTTAGGCTTCGTGAATGGTTGAACCTGAATTCGAAACGTGTACAATTCCTATCCCAGTGGTCGGTTCTCTTATTCCTCTAGGTACCACGGTTGATTCTCGGCTGGGAAAAGTGTCACGCCTGCCTTCAGGACCGCTTTTCTGTCGGCCTTACGTTTGAACAGGTTCTCTTGCACACGCTTCGTTCCGTTCGTCCTCGGAGAGACTTGGATCACGCTGAGACCTCCGACCTGTTTGCAAACAACCAGAACTGGCCTATTGGCTAGCAGATTGCCTAGAAGGGAATGAGCATCACAGGCTAA